TGTCTGGAAACTCATTGTGTGACTTAAATTTTTGTTAAATATTTCATGCTAATATAAACCGTAAAAGGTTAAACCGTTTAAAATATTCAATTAAATAGAAAAGTCGTTTTAAAACAACTTTTAAATGATCATATTCTCATTTCTCGCAGTAAATATCAAATTTCCATGAATTAAACCTCCATTGAATGCAAAATTAAGTTCAATTTATGTTTGTATATCGTGAAAATAGGCTTGAAATTTCTGCATTTAATTACGAATCCTCGAAAATGAAACACATAATCGTCTTTTATCAAGTGGTTGTATTTTACCAGTGAAAATATTTAATAAGATGCCTCAATAATTTCTTAAAAAATAAATCGTTTTGAGTTTAGGTTTTCACCTTTCCGACACAATGAACTTACTGGGTGTAATGGAAAAGGGGCGTTGACTTCATATCGTCAGTTGAATGCTCTCCTCACAACTTTTGAGTTAATTGAAATTGGAATTAAAATTATATGTTTTTTTGGCAGGTTGGTGAGGCCTGTAATGCTACCATCCTGACACTTTTGATTGGTGAATGGATGAGCTAATAGTTCATCTGATTAGTTTATCACTATTTTTTAAGGTACGTAATCTAATAGAGGAGAGTGGACTATAAATCTGAGACCATTCCATCTGGCCTTTGGTATTGTGTTGCTGAAGACTTCGAATACTTGCCATCACTTTTGCTTAGATGGCGAATGGTAGCTCCATTCTATTTTCCTCTGCACGCAAGACGACTCTAGCCCTACTAACAGCGCCCCCCCCCCCACCTTCCAGTTCAAGAAAAGCACGTTGGATCTGTTGATAGGTTAATCCTAACCAACTTGTACAGGCCGTAATTTTGTCAAACGAAATCTATTGGTCTATCATCGGGGATGGCCTTACATTTTATTTCATCTATTATATTTTTTTATATCCGTTTGTAGGAACATGTTTTTACCCCTCCCCTTCCCACACACTCAAGAAAATTTGGCATTTTAATAATTATTTGATATATTTATTGACTCCATTACTAATAATTCAGGAATTTGAGTAATTGTTAAAATTTTAAATACTATGAAATGCGTCTGATGTGATATTTTCTGCCTATTTCTTTGGGCAAAGTTTGGGGCTATTTAAACATTTAAAGTTATAACATAAAATATAAAAACCATTTTCGGTACCCTTAATATTCATCCTAAATACTAATTTCAATAAATGGTTTGGGGAATTATGATTTCAATTTTTGTTTCCCGTTATTTCAAATCGTATCAATTTGCTGATCGGAAAAATGTGTTTCGCTTTTACTCTGCCTAAAATAAATAATCTCACACTGTCTAATTTGTTGCTCCAAACGCGACAAAATAAAATCCGAACGACCGGTACTCACTGCCACGTGGAGGTAAGTCTATCGCACACCCCACACTTGTCTTTTAAATAAGCGTGTTACTAATGTCCGCAGCCATTATCGATTTTCCATATGATCCGCAAATAAAACATTTTCGATCTGGCATTTTCAGTCAAATTTAAGTTTTTTTTCACAGAGTCAGCCTCTAAACTGCGTCAAGACTAAAATATGATTCGTTTGAATTTTTAAGTGAACTAGCCCAATTATATGGTAGCATTTGCACATTTGGATAAATGAAGAGGATTTGAGTACGACTATTATCTCTACAACGTAAGGTGGGAGTTGGCGTTTGTGGGACTCGGAATTTAAATGGAAAAATAGGATTATGGCATAAAGAATGATTTCACCAGGATTGCATATTCTCTTGAAACTGTACTTGCAAAAGTCTTTCAAATGTCTTGGCTAACTCCTGAGAACTTTCAGTGTGTTGCACATTAAAATCTTTTAAATTATTTTTCGCGGTTATATGACAGTCTTTCTTCTGCCTAGACGAATAATCTGGAACTTCTTCCGTCTTGAAAATGAGCACTTAAACAACTGTGGTAACTTCCGCGCTGTTCGCGATATCGGTATTGCTCCTATTCGCAGGGAATCCCTCTACCCGGCAGGGAATCCGAGTCAAGATGGTGATAGGACTGCAGCTTACGGGATGTTCAACCAACTTCTCACATACACTCAAGCTACTGGCAATACAATTAATCGGAACCCAAATGCAAGCGGTTGCGGTGGCAACATTGGAAGTGATGATGAGGTTTCAAATAACCAGACTTCGGATGGTGATAATAGTGCAGGCACGTTGAATGCAACATTTGCCGAATATGCGACAATATTGCGACAGAACAATCGCAAGAGTTTGTGGAGTCATCTTCGAGCGACGTACTTTCAACAGAAGAAAGAGAAGAGACGGCGAGTTGAGCTTGAAAAGATTGCAGGAATGGAAGAAGCGCTCTGGGCGGCAAGACGTGATGTTCAGGCAGGTCACCTATATTTTAATTGACTTGATAAATCGAATCGTGTGTGGTAATCTGTCAGAAGTGTCGCAGTCACCTCATGGACGAGGCTAATTATGCCCCCCCCCCCATTAAACTCTATGCAACTTTCCAATCTTAATATCACCTGAATTCTTTCAATAATTAAGTGGGGATGGCCGGCGACATTAGTCGACATAAATTAACGATTCAAGAGATTGCCAATTAAGCCTTTATTAGTCTGATTTACATACTGTCTGCTGCAAGTTTTTAAAAGATATTGTGAAAACTTATTGGATGCTTTCGGGGTTATGTGTTAAATGTTATTATTCTTCAAATTGCTTAAACTCGTAGTTAAAGTTTCGTAAATTTCGCAGCCAAGGATGAATTCATTTGTCCACTTATAAGCGGTGTTGGGATTAAATGGTACTATCTCATCGGAGAGAAGAAAAAGGAGGGTTGACGATTACAGAATTGGATAGATTTTCTAGAGGTCTAATAGTCAAATTAATTATGCTATTGTTATAGACGTTTCCTCGAAATAAGCGCAGTTAGGGTCTTTTGCGGCTTCAATTCGTCCTCAGTCTCAGTCCCGGAATCTGGGACAAATGAATTTTACAGTACCAGCTAGGTGAATAGTCTTTTTCGCCAGCGTCCCATCAAGGTTCATAATAGTCTATCGGCTTAAGGTTTGTGGAAGTTTGCTGAAGAAATCTGTCGCGCTATCGTAATCAGACCAGATTATCTTCCTTGTTGCATTCTTTCATTCACTCATTCTTGTGGTCTCCATTGAAATCCACCAGTTCATGTTGGATTCTTTTCACAATGTTGGGGTAGCATTGAGCAGCGATCATAATCCTTTTGGTTTTGATGGCCTACAAATGGGTTCCAGTCATCATCCATTCTCGCTGTCATCGTGTATATTCATGAAGAAGAAGGGGCCTTGTCTTTTAAGGTGACCGTGTTGTAAACGAACATCTTTGAAGCATCTGAGAAAAAAACAAATAGAATGATAAGTTCTTATGGAAAAATTTTATCAAAGAAAAGGCCCGTGATGTGTTTAGCATTGTTCTTTTGGTGGCCTCTATTCTCATTTCAAGAGAAGTGGTTAAAGCGAGAGAGTGCAGTTATTCCGATATCAAAATGGTGAGATGATTTATTTCTCTAGTTTCTTTGATAGTTGAAGAACGGGACGGTCCTCATCTAAAAAATTCAAAAACATTATTTTGTCCAGTTAGAAGTAAGATTATAATTTGCACTTTTTATCAGAGGCATGGGTGGAACAGATGGACATTCGCCTTAAAATAGTACTTTTCAAGGATGGATGGGGGGTGGGAGGTGTAGAATGAATTAACACTATTTTAATCTCGAATAGCCAATTTCTTTTATCCATTTTTCTTTACACCTAGTCGGCATACTTGAGCGACATTAAATGTGGCACTTCAATAGTTCATCATGTTCCCCTATTGTCTCCCTTGAATGCGGCTCTCAAAACGATGTGCCTCTCTACATCCTTTTTTCTAATACTTTGGATTAACAGAAATTTTACTTCTTTTTTCTGATTTTAAGAACGACGTTCTGTCTGATATGTTATGAGTAGTTACATCAACAGGTTCATTAATATGCTATCGCTGACATAAGTTTTGAATTCCCGTCCGGATTCCATGACATTAGATCTGAGAAGAGTCGACTCTATTGGTGGTTGGTAATGAGGTCCATTGGAAACGGAGGCCCTTTCTTCTCTCCTCCTAACAAAGTCGAGTCAATTTTAATGCCGTTAAGGAAATGATGCATTGGCATTATGGTTGCTGAGCCTTGAAATCAAATTGTGAGTGCTAGTCAGTATTGATCAAGACTGGCCTTGCCACAGCGTTAAGTGCTCATTGATTCTGTTGAAACAGCTGCGTATTGGGCAAAATGTTTTGAACTTTTCGAGCAAAATAGTAAAGCAAAAATAAATGATATTCCAGAATTCATTGATGGATGATTTATTAACCGTATCTCCATCGTGTATACTCCTACATACTGTCAATCAACATTCACTTTTCTGTCATTCAGATTAAAAAATAAACTTACTTTTGTCAGTCAGCACCAGTTGAATTTCATTGACTTGCTCATTAATGCAAGCACTTTTTTTAAATTATGGGTTAATCACATTACGTAGAGACTTTCTTCTTGTGAACCTCTCTGTTTTCTTATCTTCTGTTTGAATTTTAATCACTCACCACCATGAAATCACAACTCTAGGGGTAGGAGAGGAGGAGGAGGGAGGTGGGGTGGGGGGGGGGGTTATAATTCACACTTTCTTCTTGAAGAAGTTGTGTGTGTGTGTGTGTGCTACACAATGAATACTTTTTCTTTAGGTTCTTATGGTTTGCTTTTTAATTTTCTACCCTACTCAAAGTGTGCTTGGTTGAATCAGGCAATTCTTGAGTATATAGAACGAAGGACTGGGGTGGGAGGGTGTAATGCAATCTATCATAAAACAGATTTATGTCTGTGATTATAAGTTATATAAGCGAGCCCTAAGCTAAAAGAGGCGTAATGTCTAATGAGTTCGTATAAAAACGTCAATGTAATGTAACCACGGTACTTGCCACTAGAATTGCTCATTTCAAAATAGAAAGTGAACAATTAGGTAAGCCTTAATAGACGCCTGCTTTCTTCTCCAGGCAAAGTCAACAAAAACGCCTGCTCGTGGTGCTTCTCCAACAGAAGATCCATCTGAGGTTCAAGCCAAGTTGTACGCCAGAGCTAGGCGCATTTCACCCGGCGTGACTCCAATAACTGGAACAAACGTCAATGCATCCTCCATCCACCAAGATCCAGATTCTCGTGAGCTGCGCAGTCGTATACGACTTCGTTCGGACTCCTCTGCCACATGTCCAGGTGAATGGAATACTCATAGTCGAGATGTCATGATCGATGGACGTCAGCACAAAGCTTTCGCTAAGGCCACCATCCCCCTCACTGTCTGTTTTCTCGAACCTCAACAGTCTACCTCAGTTGATAATAGGGTTTCCACTTGCACTCTGCCGTTTATATCAACTCCAGAACCCCCTTTATTGCCTACCACAGCTTCTGGAACTCTTCTGGAGCGTTCTGGTGAACGAGCTAATGTAAATAGGGGTTTGGATCTTGTTATTGCTCCTGAAATGCTAGTAAGTTAAATTTTTATCTTAACACTCCCATTCCCTTATACTACTGTTCATACTAAGTAAACGTATGTCGAGATATATTCATCTTAGCCTATGTACTCAAATACGCACTCAGGTGATCGACTGCCACAGAGTTTAGATTGATAAATAACTTGTGGAGAGTTTTTGAGACTCTTGAAATGGATCATTAACATTTTTTTAGTCTCACTTGATTGGTGATGATTCGCCTGATGACACGGTTCTTCCGATTCGAACTCGGATCCAAGCTAATCAATTAAGAGAGCTCCTAAGTACTCTTAACAGTGGAAATTCAGCGCAAGGGGAGACAGGAGTGAAAAACCCCGTTCCGTCAACTTCAACGGCACCCCACGCTCCAGCTTTCTCAAATCGACCAAGAAGATGGCGTCTTGAATCTACAGGAGCTTTAAGTACCGGTGGAGGGCGTCGATTAAGTCGATCACAGACGGGACAACGAAGGAAATGGATTGGTAATGGCGGAAACAAAAAGTCGGAGGCTAGTGTAGAACGGAAGACTGATATTAAAGTCAGACCAAAGAGTGTTGGAGCTATGATGGGCACTGATTCTGATGAAAGAGGAAGACATACCTCCGTGGAAACTAGCACGATTTCACTAGGTGAAGATGTGGAAGACGTCGAAAGGGGACAAAGGTAACGTATTGATATTTTGAATCGAAAGATTTGCATCTTTTGAAGCTCTCTACTAATGGCTTCCATTTCTACAGGAGTAGTGAGAAGCGGCCAACCTATCCTTCGAAATTCGTCGTTGATCGTGTTGAGAATCCGGATGATGATGTAGCTCAATTCTAATTTTGTGTCGTATTGAACCGACTATAGGTAAGTTAAATCAATTGAGGAGGCAAACATATATTAAAGAATACTACTACTTATGACTTTATTAGTACCATTGTTTACTTTTTAACATTTCGTTACTATTGAATCTTCCTTAATTTCAGTATTTTTAACTTTCAGGGTCATCTTTTCAAACCGTGATAAAAGTAGCCACAGAAACGTTCCAAATCTCATGAGTCGCGCTTATCAGAATTGAATGGCAAAGTGTAAAGATGGACCCAACTATCTTGTCTCAAGTATCTAATTTGTTTTATTCCCCCCTCCCCAGTGAGTTGTTTATTTTTTCACGATCCTTTTTAATACCTAAAAGTACGAGAAAATAAGATGACAATGAATCCCCACAATTCTCCGTGTGACCTTGAAGCACCAATCAAATCTTGCTCACACCCCCTCCCCAAATCCTATCATTTTTAATTGCTTCGTTTCCTCTTTTTCACTTATTACCTTCTCTATGTTGAGTTTATACAGTGCTTTCTTTTATAAGAAGAAAAGAATCCATTGGAAATAAATTTTAATTTGTGATTGGATTTTAAGCTTTCTTATGATCACGGGTTTTGGTTAGATGATAAGCGTTGGCTTATCCCACGTTGTCAAAATGCCATGATCTCTTTTTGAATGAAAAAAAAAGAACTTAAAGGAACATACACTAAAATTGCTGAAAGGCACTTGTGTGAAGCAAAGGATTAGTAACTCCCTGAATGACGGCTAAGTGGTTTTCCAAACGATTCTGATACTCTCACCCTCCTTGAATGGGGTTTATTTGTTTAGACAAATTGAATAAGGCAACTTTAGGAGGATTACTAGCGGCTTGGTACCTGATTTTCCCTTAGCTATTTCGCAGACTTGATCTTCTGCATTCTATTAACGTCACACCAACAACTAGAAAGAGGGAGAGTGAGGTAGAGGAGGAGGAGGAACAACTAGTGATCTTTGATGGACTTACCGTAGGCAAATTGGGAAGCAAGAAATAGGAAGAGGGTGGGGTGGGGTGGGGTGGTCACCGAGATCCATGAATGACAACAAGGGAGTAGTGCTGAATACAGAGTAAAGTGAGTATGTGAATAAGCGCCTACGATTTGGCACGTTCGTAGAGAATTATTCATTTTAGGCTGCTATTCTGTGAACTCTAAAATTTGGCAATAGCGGCATTTCCAACTCACTGAAAGAAAGTTAGCCTGAATCGATGTAAGCACGGTTTGACTTGAACCCAAACTAGGGTGAAATTCTCAGCGCCATGTATATAAATCAGGCAAAATCTACCTACTTGAGTGATTGGAGACGTTTAAGTTCACGTCTACTCTATACAATGCATCATTGCAAGTGAAAAAATAAATCATCAATGGAAAAATATTCAATTCTAGAAGTAAAGAGCTGCTGCATGCTAAATAGAGTTTATGTGGTATAGGAACTAGACGTCAAACAACCATCTGGAAATCAGTTGGAACAAGTCATAGACTACCTACTCTGCCCATGAATACTTCCTGAAATTTGCAGTTGACTCAGCAAAAGTGCTGAGAACACGCCTGTGCTCAAAATACTGATTTTCTTCAATAATGGGATCGATATTCTGCCTGCTAAAATGTCATTCACTATTATTCATTTAAAAGAGCATTAATTGTCTTTGTAACTTTGTCCGATTTGGTCGGACCCCTCATCACTCTTTCCTTCCTCCATTTATTTATTTATATCAAATGGCAGGCGTTTTGATGGTTATCATTAGACCTTTAGTTGACTTCAGGCTTCACGGAGAGGAGGAGGAACATCAAAGTGGAAAAAATTCGAGACGGGGGGGGGGAGGAAGAATGTTTTTTTCCAAGACGAGGGTAGAAAAGGTAGAAAAAAGGTGTAGTGAGTACTGTGGAAGCGTGGAATATGACATACAATGGGGTCATGATAGTTTGAACTCAGAAGTCAACAGCCGGTTTATAAACTTTTTTGCCGTATGAGAATACGTTGTCAGGGTACGCCACGTGGAGGTAAGTCTATCGCTCACCCCTACCTTCCTGCATAACCACCAAGTACTTTCCTTTTCATCCTTATCTTGGGGAATTGGTGCTCGCCAATCACAAATTGGTCACTAGCTTAGGGGGTGGGGGAGGAATAAATTGCGTATAAATCACGTTGGGCCTTATATGGAATTTTAATTAACTCCATTCCTTGTGTTTACATTTTAT